GCTGTGCTCACTCACTCTGCTCTGAATTTCATTTACTCATTTTATTGATTATTCATTTATTTATTCATTTATATATTCATTTATTCATATATATATATATATATATTTTTTTTTTTTTTTTTTTTTTTTTTTGGTCAGTCATGGGTCTGAACTCTGGGCCTAGGCATTGTCCCTCAGCTCTTCAGCTCAAGGCTAGCGCTCTACCACTTGAGCCTCAGCCCCACTTCCGGCTTTTTCCTGCTTATGTAGTGCTGAAAAATCGAACCCAAGGCCTCATGCATGCGAGGCAAGCACTCTACCACTGAGCCAACTTCTTCCCAGCCCCATTTATTCATTCATTTCGTTTATTTTCATTGATTATTTGGTTGATTTTGTTGTGCAGTCCTGGGCATTGAACTCTGGGACTAAGTAGGCCCTTGAACTTTGTTTTTGTTTTGTTTTGTTTTGTTTTGAGGGGGGTCTGGTCGTGGGGCCTGAACTCTGGGCCTGGGCGCTGTCCCTCAGCTCTTCAGCTCAAGGCGAGCACTCTACCACTTGAGCCACATCGCCACTTCCAGCTTTTTTTTTTCTGCTTATGTGGTGCTGAGGAATCGAACCCAGGGCCTCAAGCATGCAAGGCAAGCGCTCTACCACTGAGCCACCTTACCAGCCCATTGTTTTGTTTTGTTTTTGTGCAAATCTGGCATTCTACCATTTGAGCCACAGCTCCATTTCTGGATTTGGGGTAAATTAACTGGAGGTGAAATTATCACAGACTTTCCCTCCTAGGCTGGGTTTGAACTGTGATCCTCAGATCTCAGCCTCCTGAGTAGCTACGATGACAGCCATGAGCCCTCAAGGCCAGGTTTCTATCCATAAGTTCTGTACTACCCAGTGACAAGAAGAACAACTTTGCTTGAAAGGACCAGTTTATTCTGCACCAGAGACCACAGACCCAGGCTGGGGAGCGTCAGTCAGGAAGCCAGTGCCCCCTTCAGGAAAAGGAGCAGCTTACAATCACATTCACAGCCAAAGAAGGGAAGATGAGTGAATCCATTTCACGGCTTCTGATGCAGGCCTTAAGAAAGGGGAATGGTAAGGCGGGAGCCAGGCCACTGGAGTTGCACCCCATCCTCCATGGCAGGATCAATTTGGGGTCAGTTCACTTCCTGTCAGCCACCTTGTTAAAACTTGGTTTTAACTAACTTAGATACGTTGTCAGGGTCTGGTCTGAGAATAGACCAGCCACAAATGCAGGGCCGCCTCGTCTGAGGACAGTCCCGGCTGTAGCACTGAATGCACAAGTCTATCACGTTTATAACCAGGAGCACTCTGTAACCTAGTATGGTGAAGGTCGAAAGCAACACAGTAATCTGTCTCATTGAAGTTTTCAATTATGTCATCCTTATTTATTGGGGTGTCAGGAACGTGTTTATGAACAAAGTTTCTAGAGCTTTTATCTCTGAAATAGAGAAATGCCGAGAAGTGCTTTCTTTTTGGAAGATGTATAACAGAGTGTGGCCAGTCAAGAGACTGCAAGATATGGTAAAACACATTCCGCTTAAGAATGAGAGATTGGGGGCTGGGAAGGTGGCTCAGTGGTAGAGTGCTTGCCTTGCATGCATGAGGCCCTGAGTTCAATTCCTCAGCACCACATAAGCAAAAAGAAAAAAAGCTGGAAGTGGCACTGTGGCTCAAGTGGTTCTTGAGCTGAAGAGCTGAGGGACAGCGCCCAGGCCAAGAGTTCAGGCCCTACAACCGGACCCAAAAAAAAAAAAAAGAATGAGAGATTGGTTCACTGCAGGGAGAGAGAAGTGTGAATCTTTCCAAGTAAAAATGAGATGGATCAAAGAGAGAATCATATGTGGCAGGCCTGACAGGAACAGAGCCACTGGTGACCAAACAGGACAGCAGCAGCAGCGTGTGGAGTTTCCCCACGGTCACCAGGCTCCCCGTGAGCAGCATCATTAGGACAACACAGCAAGGCCAACTCCAACCACGTGGCAGATTCTAGAAGCTGTACAGCCAGGTCTTCTGCAGGTCCGGAGGAAGGAACAGGACACTGGGGTTCAGGGGGTCGATGCTGGCTAACAGGGCTGTCCCCTGGATTCCTCAAGTCCATATGGATGTGTCTCCAGCATGGAGGTTGGGGTAAGGGGAGGAACATGGATCCCAGTGCACCCCTGCAGCTGTGTGGCCTGTGGACTGAGAAGCAGGTAACAAAGTCCTGGTCCCTAAGGTGGAGGGGTTTGAGGTGGGGTCTCTTGCTGTCCACACCATCAACTCCACTTGCTGCAAAAGGAGTGTGCAGACAAGTTGGGATTTTCATTTTTATTTACTTATTATTTTGACCAGTCCTGGGCTTGAACACATGACTAGGGCATTTTCCCTACAGATTTAAGGTTGAGGCCAGTGTTCTACCACTTGCCACTGTAGTACCCAGAGTCCCGAGACCCCCCAAAAGACCACCAGAGACTAAGATCAATGCAAGCAGCAGAGAGTCGTTTATTGCAAGCTCAAGCCTGGTCCTCCGCGCACTCGATAACCAGTGACGCTCAGAGGCCCCGATCATAAAATCAGCACAGTTTCTATAGTATTGAGCAAACAACTTTAAGGAATATTGACATGAAAAGTTACATGATTGGTTGACATTTAAAGTAAGCTAAGCTGGACAAACATGATTGGTTAACACCATTATTGATGACAATTGCCTGACTACTGGGTCACCGTGTCCTGCATGGTCACTCAGTGCATCTGGAGAAAATTCCTGTGGTTCTTCCAAGGATTGCTTATGTCCCAAGTTGCGAGAACTGTTTTTCTTAGTGTTACTCCTGGGTGGGACTCATAGTCAATTACTGGCTTAAAGATGCATTCACTTAGGGCTAGAAAGGTAGCTCCGTGGTAGTGTGGCACTACAGACCGTTTCTTCAAAACAAATGCGTATATGGTTTTCATCAATGATTACCAGTTCTTATTGTTCTTTCAGTTTCAAAATATTTGTTAACACTCTGAGTAAATCATTTGTCAGCACTTTGTACACTTTAGTACCACTCACATCTTATTTACTAAAACTAAGCAACTCTTCTAAGCAACAAGCAAATACAAAAGCAAAAACAAGCGATTGTTCCAAGTTTCTTATTTCTTCCTTTCTCATTCCCCACTTCCAATGGAACATTTTATAGTCAATCTTGACTTATGTGTCTAATTCTGCTACTCCTGGGTCCAGATTTAAATACTGAGCCCTTAAAACCATCAGCTGCACAGCATTTATCCTATTTTTAACAAAAGCAATCAGCTTATTGATAATGCAGGGTCCTATGGTTAAAGCAAGCAATAATATCATAAGGGGTCCAATTAAGGCAGAAAGCAAAGTTGTCAACCAGGGTGAGTAATTAAACCAAGACTCAAACCATCCCTGTCTAGATTCGTATTCCTTTTTCCTCTTTTCCAGTCCCTCTTGGACTTTTGCCATATTATCCTTAACTATCCCAAAATAATTTACATAAAAACAGCATTCTTCTCTCAGGGCCACACAAAGTCCTCTTTGTTGTATGAATAAGAGGTCTAAGCCTCTCCGGTTTTGAAGTACTACTTCTGCCAGTGAGTTTAGGGACTTTCGCAGGAATGATATGGAATCTGCCAGTTTCTGTATGTCTTCATCAATAGCCATTCTTAAGTCATTATAAGAATTTTTCTGATTGATTAATGAGGCTACTCCTGTCCCAAGTCCTCCTAAACTGGCTCCTATCAAGAGCCTCAAGGTGATGGCCGTTAGGGGTTCCCTCTTTTTCCGGGGGGCGAGACTGCCCTCAGGTTGAGATTTTTTCCAAATAATTTCTCCAGTGATTAAGGAACTCGGAATGTGGGTAGTAAGTTATGGTGGGAACCAGGCGAACCAACACACAAGTATCATTGAGTTGTTGTAACACGGTGGTGTGCACACAGGGGGTTAGTCCCGTTTTGGAGCAGGCCCACCAAGCATCGTTTGGGGGGATTAAGTAACTGTTGTTTATCCATTCTTGTATAAAGCTGCACAAAGGGGCCATCTCTTTGCTCACTTCCCCGGCACATCTCCCAGTCCTTGTTATTTTGGTTACTGTGAGTCCTACCTTCGGTTTCCATCTGCAGGATGCTGTGTTACTTGATATGGTAATATTGTCCTGAATTGCAATCCCCTCATAATAAGGGGGCATGATGTCATAACATAGCCAGCAAGACCTCGTCTTCTTAGGCTGAGTCTGGTTTAGCATTAGGAAGGATTTTTGCATTATTTTCACAAGTGGGTTCTCAAAGTGGGGTAAATAAGCAGGGGCAGGTGCCTGGGTTAGGGGACCATTAGTCTGAATGTTAATAGATGGCGCCTCAGAGGGGACTGTCCTGGATAATAAAATGGTCTTTTAAGTGGGCTGCATTACAGGTTTTAAGATAAGGTTGGGTCCTACTGCCACTGGTGGTCGATCCCAAGATTTAATGACCTGGAGTGTTAAAAGTATCCCCTCATGGTTACCGTTGGGCCTATATAGCCTAAGTCCCCAGGACTTCCCAGACTCCCACCCTTCAGCCTTTTTCCCTTGTTCAGTAAATTGAATTCTGATCTTAGAATTCTGTGGGCTACTTTTAGTAAAATCAACAAGGTCTCCTCCTTTTCCCTTCCACCAAGTGGATGTGCTTGTCTCGCACCCCCATTTTTTACAATAATAGTCACTGGGGCCTCCGCAACTATCTGTCCTTTTCCCTCCAGGGCATACATACCAGTTTCGCCATCTACACTCTGGATAGGAATCTTGTTTGGTCCAGCTAGTGCGGGCCTATGACCCTTCGGCTAATTGGCATAGATCAAAGTGCAAGTCTGGAAATTGGGGTAAAGGTCCATGGGTGGATATAAGAGTCAATCTCTTTCCCGTCTCGGGATTTTTAACAATCCAAGTCCAAGTGTAGGGGTAATGGGGATTGTCATCAACATAGGCATTAATAAAAACATTGCTTAAAAACATCAAAATTAAAAACAACATGGTCACGGTTCAGTTCTTTTGTTTACGACGCAGTGTCAGCTTCAAAGGGTTATCTTTGGTCCGGTCGATCGTCCAGGCTGTTTCCTTGCTTGCGAGCTCAATCAAATCCAGGAACGGGTCTGCCTGTTTGGCGTGGGTGTGGTGAATCCAAGTAGCCACCCCGTCTACTTTGAGAGCAGTGGGTGTCGTCAGAATAACCTGGAATGGTCCTTTCCATCTAGGTTCCAAGTTTTCCTGTCGATGGCGTTTAACAAGTACCCAGTCTCCTGGTCTGTACCGGTGAGGTACTGGTGGCGGCCCAGTTTCGTACAATTCCCTCAATTTTGGCCATACTTCTTCATGGACCCTTTGTAAGGCTTGTAAAGAAAATGAAAGTTTAGAATCATCTTCCCCCTCGTCCCTGAGGAGCCGTTCAGACAAGTCGGGAAGTATGGGGGGAGGTGTTCCAAACATTATCTCGTATGGGGTAAGGCCTAATTTAAAAGGGGAATTGCGAACTCTATACAAGGCATAGGGAAGGAGGGCCACCCAGTCACCGCCAGTCTCCATGGTCAATTTAGTCAGGGTCTCTTTTAGAGTTCTATTCATCCTCTCTACCTGTCCAGAACTCTGGGGCCTGTAGGCACAATGTAATTTCCAATCTGCCCCAAGCACAGAAGCAAGTCCCTGACTTACCTTGGAGATGAAAGCAGGTCCATTGTCTGATCCTATCATTACAGGAAAGCCATACCTGGGTAGGATGTCTTCTAATAATTTCTTTGCTACCACCTGTGCAGTCTCACGTTTAGTTGGAAAGGCTTCTATCCATCCTGAAAAGGTATCTACAAAAACTAACAAATACTTATACCCATACTTCCCAGGTTTAACCTCAGTAAAGTCTACCTCCCAGTAAGCTCCTGGCCTGTCTCCTCTCTTTCGGTTCCCTGGCTCAGAGCGACTATGTCCCGCGTTTGTTAATTGGCAAGCTTTGCACTCTTTAACAATCTGCTCTATCTTTTCATAAACGCCCTTAACTCTTAGCCCTGTATGTCTTACCAAGTCCTGCATTCTTTTTATTCCCATGTGTGTGCTTCGGTGAAGCCTGAGCAATACTTGCTTGCCTAACGATTCAGGTAGGATGATGTTGCATTGAGAGTCTCTCCACCATCCGTCTAGCAGTTGTGTCATTGGTAATTTGGAGATCCATTTTAAATCTTCTTCGGTGTAGGTGGGGTCTTCAGGCAGGGTTCTTGGGCCCAGATCAGGAAGGCAAATGGCTAGAGTTGGAGTTCCTGAGAGTGCAGTCTCTCGGGCTGTCTTGTCTGCAAAGTTGTTCCCTCTGGAAATTGAGTCTATTGGTTTTTGGTGCCCTGGACAGTGGACAATGGCCAACTTTTTAGGTAACCACAAGGCAGTTAGCAGGGCCAGTATTTCTTTTTTGTTTTTTATGGTTTTTCCTTCTGCAGTCAATAATCCTCTCTCTCTGTAGATGGCTCCATGTATATGAGCAGTTGCAAAAGCATATCGGCTATCAGTATACACAGTCAGTCTCGCCCTTTGCCCATGGTCAGCACCTGGGTTAATGCCACCAACTCAGCCCTCTGAGCCGATGTGCCCACTGGCAATGGTTCAGCCCAAACTACTTCCATTTCAGTTGTTACTGCTGCACCCGCATACCTCTGTCCTTGGTGAATGAAGCTGCTTCCATCTGTGAACCACACCACTTCAGCATCTGGCAGCGGCTGGTCTTTCAAATCCTCTCGGGTCCCGTGGACCTGTGCTAGAACTTCCAAACAGTCGTGCAATGGTGCTTCCAGGTCAGGGTCCGGTAACAAAGTTGCCGGGTTGAGGGCCGAAGGTGTCTGAAAAGAAATTCTGGGAGGGTTAAGCAATAAGCTCTGGTAATGAGTGAGTCGGGCGTTGCTGAGCCAGCGCTCAGGAGGCTGCTTCAGGACACCTTCAATTGCATGGGGAGTGGTTATAAGCAGTTCCTGCCCCATGGTTAGCTTGTCTGCATCTTTTACTAACAGCGCAGTGGCAGCTATCATCCTTAGGCATGGGGGCCATCCGGCCGCCACTGGGTCCAGTTTCTTTGACAGGTAAGCCACTGACCTCTTCCATGGTCCTAGGCACTGCGTTAGGACCCCTTTCGCTACCCCTCCCCTTTCGTCCACATATAGATGGAAGGGTTTTGTAACATCAGGGAGGCCCAAGGCTGGAGCTGACAACAGTGCGGTTTTTATCTGTTGAAACGCCTCCTCCGCTTTTTCCGTCCACTGGAACTGCCGTTGGTCTTTGGCAGCATCATATAGAGGTTTCGCCAACTCGGCAAATCCAGGGATCCATAGCCGACAAAAACCCGCGAAACCCAGGAACTCCCTTACTTGTCGTTGGGATTGGGGTCTTGGGATTCGGAGGGCCGTCTCCTTTCTGGCCTGTGTCAGCCACCGCTGCCCCCCTTTAAGCAGGTACCCTAAGTACGTTACCTCGGGCCTGCAGATTTGGGCCTTTTTAGCTGATGCCCTATATCCGAGATCCCCTAGCGTCTGCAGCAAGTCCTCCGTTCCCTGGATACAATCTTCTCGGTTCTCAGCAGCTATGAGGAGATCATCCACATACTGCAATAGGGTTAGGTCGAGGTGACTCCGCCTAAACTCACCCAAATCTTCATGAAAGGCCTCATTAAATAGGGTTGGTGAATTCTTAAATCCTTGAGGTAAGCGTGTCCAGGTCAATTGTCCGTTTATGCCTTTCTCAACATCTGCCCACGCAAAGGCGAAAAGGTCCTGGCTTTTGGGCGCCAAGGGCAGGCTAAAGAAAACATCCTTTAAGTCCAAGACCGTATACCACTGTCTGTCAGGAGGAAGTGAACTCAAAAGAGTATATGGGTTAGGCACGGTGGGATGAATATCTGCAACTCTCTTGTTGACCTCCCTGAGGTCTTGTACCGGTCTATACTCATTGGAGTTGGGCTTATGGACGGGCAACAGGGGTGTATTCCAGGCCGACTTGCAGGGTCGTAATACTCCCTGTTCCAATAGACGCCTGATGTGGGGGGTTATTCCCACTCTGGCTTCCATGGACATGGAGTACTGTCGGACCCTGACTGGATCAGCTCCTGGTTTAATTTCAATAAAAAGTGCTGGCCGATGCTTTGCCAGTCCCATTCCCCCAGTTTCTGCCCAAGCCATGGGGTATCGCTTTAGCCAATAATCAATTCCCTCATCCTGAGGCTGTGGCTGTTGGTGCAAGCGATACTCGTCTTCCAAGGCAATAGTTAGCACTTGCAATGGTTTGCCTTGTGCATCTGTCACCCTGGGGCCTTCTGAGTGAAACTGGATTTGTGCCCCGATCTTGGTTAGCAAATCTCTCCCTAAAAGGGGGTATGGGCTATCTGGCAAAATCAGGAAAGAATGGGACACTTTTCCAGCCCCCAGATCCACAGTCCGTTTTGTTGTCCATGAGTATTGTTTGATTCCTGTGGCTCCTTGCACCCAGGATTTATTAGTTGAGACCTTTCCTCCAGACTCAGTCAATGCCGAGTATTGGGCCCCAGTATCTACCAAAAATTGAACTGGAGTCCCCTCCACCTTTAAAGTTACCCTAGGTTCGGGGAGGGGAACCAAACCCCGTCGTCCCTATTCATCCTGAGTCTCCGCGGCCATCATGGAAGACTCTCGGGACCTCCAGGGTTTGTTCGGTCCCTTCTTCCTGGGACACTCCTTGGCCCAATGGCCAATCTCTCGGCAATATGCACACTGGTCTTGGCGTAAGTCTTCATTTCTTTTTCTATTTTCTTTGTCAAATTTCCTCAGGGGCTGTCTAGACTTCCATTCCCTCTTACTTTTATCTCCCTCTGCCACTGCTACTAGCATTCTGGTCATCTCTTTGGTCGCCTTTGTTTTTCTTCTGGGGTATCTCTGTTATTAAACACTTTCTGGGCTATTCTGAGCAGGTCATGGATATTCCTCCCTTCTAAGCCCTCTAGTTTCTGTAACTTTTTTCTAATATCTGGTGCTGCCTGGTTTACAAAGGACATAACAACTGCTGCCTGATTCTCCTGTGCCTCCGGGTCCATGGGAGTATACTGTCTAAACGCTTCCATAAGTCTCTCTAGGTACTCGGAGGGTGACTCATTCCTTTCCTGTAAGACTGAATACACCTTGGCCAAATTAGTTGGTTTTCGGGCTGCCGCCCGGAGACCCACCATTAGAGTCTGGCGATAGACCCGTAGCCTCCCCCTACCTTCTGCCGTGTTGTAATTCCATTCGTCCTGAGGAGGTCTGGTCAACGGGAAGTAAGCATTGATTAAATCACCGTTTACAGTGGGGCGCCCATCATCCCCTGGAACTAATTTCCGGGCTTCAGTCTGTATTCTTTCTCGTTTCCTCGGTTGTGAACAGGATTGTTAGCAGTTGCTGGCAGTCATCCCAGGTAGGCTGGTGAGTAAACATAACACTATCTAGAAGATGAATCAAATCTTTTGGGTTATCTGAAAATTTAGCATTTTGGGTTTTCCAATTATACAAGTCAGTGGTGGAAAATAGCCAATACTGGAGTCTGGGGCTTCCTGTATCATCAGGTGGCCCTGTCTCCCGTAGTGGCAAAACCACGGTGGAGTCAGGAAGGCAGGGACTGGCTGTCCTCTGTGTCCGGCCACGAGTCCTCCCCACTGGTCCTTCTAGGTTACTTTCATTTTCCTCTCCTGCCTCCGCTCCTTCCCCTGCGGCGGCCGCAGCTGCTCCTCCCATCTCTCCTGCCGGTGCTGGGGGAATGGGTTGTGGCAACACAGGGTAAGGTGGGGGTTCAAAACGAAGGTCAGCACTTTCTCCCTGAAGGACGGGATACAGGGGAGGAGCCGTTGGGTTGTCTCGGCCTTCTGGAGGGCTAAGATCTTAGTTGGCTCCTGGCTGGATGGAAGGAAGTGAGCCAACCACTCTGGAGGGTCTTTGACCACATCCAGCCATACAAGAATATAGGGGAGTTGATCAGGATGCCCCTTCTTGCCAGGTAGACGTATCAAGTCTTTTACTTTCTGAATGGTTGGAAGGTTAAAAGTCCCTTCTGGTGGCCAACCTACTCCAAAGGTGGGCCATTCTGTTTGACAAAATGTTATAAGCTTACCTTTCTTGATTTCTACACTGAGGTTATGTCCCCTCTCTTTTATCTCCTTAAAATGTCTAAGCAGGAAGGAGAGAGGGGTGCTCTGTTCCTGACCCATTTTTGCATCAAAAAGGGTCCAAATGAGTAAAACAGAAAGGAAGAAGAAAAGAGAACAAGTTAGGGTTAAACAAAAACGTCGCAGGTGTGGGTTGGTAATATCCGCACACTTTGTCACACAATCCCCGGGGGAGCGGTGTGGTTTAGTCACGCCTGGGATTCCAAAGAGGTGAATAGAACAGTTCTATGGAAATTGTTCATTCTTCCCCCCCACATAAGGGGTCAGCGGTTCCCGTATCCTCCAGCTCCAGATTAACCGTCCTGAAACTTAATTTGGGGTCAACTCAGGGTAATCACTAATGCGCAAGAGACAAACACACAAACACTACACTCAGGACAGACAGCGAGTGCGTCAGACTGTTGGTCAGGCAGTCTGTCCAGAAGGGCTTCCAAACAGAGAGGACCGGGCAATGAACACCTGACCTCGGGGAATAGCCCACCAAAGGGTCCAGGGGACGTCTCCCACTGGCCCTGCTGGCAGTCCTATAGCGCGTCCGCCAAGACTCTCCACCAGCCCAGAGACCAAGCCTGCAGGCAACCCAGAAAACAGACAATGGCAATGCCTTGACACTTACCGGCCATTTTTTGCGACTCTTTGACCCAGCGTCTGGGTGGGATTGGGGGATCCCGGACGAGCCCCCAGAAATGTAGTACCCAGAGTTCAGGGACCCCCAAAAGACCACCAGAGACTAAGATCAATGCAAGCAGCAGAGAGTCGTTTATTGCAAGCTCGAGCTTGGTCCTCCGCGCACTCAATAATTGGTGACCCTCAGAGGCCCCGATCATAAAATCAGCACAGTTTTTATAGTATTGAGCAAACAACTTTAAGGAATATTGACAGGAAAAGTTACATGATTGGTTGACATTTAAAGTAAGCTAAGCTGGACAAACATGATTGGTTAACACCATTATTGATGACAATTGCCTGACTACTGGGTCACCGTGTCCTGCATGGTCACTCAGTGCATCTGGAGGAAATTCCTGTGGTTCTTCCAAGGATTGCTTATGTCCCAACTTGCGAGAACTGTTTTTCTTAGTGTTACTCCTGGATGGGACTCATAGTCAATTACTGGCTTAAAGATGCATTCACTTAGGGCTAGAAAGGTAGCTCCGTGGTAGTGTGGCACTACAGACCGTTTCTTCAAAACAAATGCATATATGGTTTTCATCAATGATTACCAGTTCTTATTGTTCTTTCAGTTTAAAAATATTTGTTAACACTCTGAGTAAATCATTTGTCAGCCCTTTGCACACTTTAGTGCCACTCACATCTTATTTACTAAAACTAAGCAACTCTTCTAAGCAACAAGCAAATACAAAAGCAAAAACAAGCGATTATTCCAAGTTTCTTATTTCTTCCTTTCTTTCTCACCACGTAGCTCTGCTTCTGAATTTCTTTTTTCTTTTTCTTTTTTTTTTTTTTTGTGAGAGAGAGGATGATTAATTAAAGATAGGAATCTCAAACTGAGTGTGGTGGCTCATGCCTGTAACCCCAGCTACTCATGAGACTGAGATCTGAGGATCAAAGTTCAAAGCCAGCCCTGGCAGAAAAAGCTGTGAGACTCTTTATCTCCAATAAAAACCACTCAGAAAACCAGAATCCATGCTGTGGCTCAAGTGGTAGAGCACTAGCCTTGAGTTGAAAAGCTGAGGGACAGCGCCCAGGCCCAGAGTTCATGCCCCACAACTGACCGGAAAAAAAAAAAAAAAAAGATAGGAATCTCACAATCTTTTTTGCATTGGTTGGATTTGAACTGTGATTCTTAGATGAGAGCCTCCTGAGTAACCTGGATTACAGATATGGACCAGTGGCTCCTCGCACAATTTGAGTTTTTAGGTCTCCTTTCCAGACTCTTCCACAGGCAGAAGGATACGTGTAACCCAAGTGAGGGCCCGCACTGTGGCAGGCTCCAAGGCCACAAGGAGGTCACAGACAAGCTGTCTCTGAACTGAGGGCCTCCCACCCACATGCAGAGGACACAGATATAACAAGGACCCTGCAGTAGACCCAGACTCCAGCCCTGTGCTGCCAGCTCCACTGAGAGAAGGCTGCTTCCTCTTCTAGAGGATGGAGTGGGGGAAGGGGCAGGAAAACCAGGACACATGGTTACCAGGCTCTTGTGGAGTCTGCGTAGGGGCTGAGGTCAGGGAGTCCTTTCCTTTCAGTCCTTCCCCCACAATTAATGCTGGGTCACTTCTTGAATACAGAGGTGACAGAGGCCAGGCCCTGTCCCACACGCCCAGTGCTCTATGGCAGAGCTTTAGCTATGAGCAGGCACTCAGGCCTAGAAACCTAGCTACTGGGAAGGCTGAGAGCTCAAGGATGGGAGACTCCATCTCCAATTAACCATGAATGCTCCAAACTGGAGGAAAGGCTCAAGTGGAGAACACCAACTTTCAGAACGCAAGACAGCAAGAGTATAAGTACTTGAGTTCTAGCACAACTACCAGATTCCCTAAACAAATCACTAAGAAGCTCGCTTGTGGGGAACACAGGCAGCAAAGATGGCACTGAGAGGGAGTTGAGTAGGCAGAGCCCAATTTACTGTAGAGCACATGGGCAGCAAAGATGGCACTGAGAGAGAGCAGAGTGGGCAGAGCCCAATTTGCCTTACGATCAGTGCATAACCAGCCCATGAAAGCTTAGGTGCATATAGGGTGTGACCTTGACAGTGATTGGTTCCTCTTCCTCCCTTGCCATGCCACCCGCTCTTTTTGGCTTTAAAAAGGGCTGCTCTCTGTTAATAAACGAGTTTTCTACCTGCTGGATTTGATTGACTCCCCACTGTGTCTGATTGTCTCCCCAGCTGAGGGAGGCTGGGGGCTGAGGGAGGCTGGGGAACAGGGCTAGCATCGCACTTACCTTTCCTTGGAAACCCCCTCCAGCCCCCCGCCCCCCGTCCGTCTTTCGTGGGACAGACGAAGAGCCAACACTCACTGTCAGTGGCTCATTCCTGAAATCATAGCTGCACTGGGGACTGAGATCTAGGTATTGAGGTTCAAGGCCAGCTTGAGCAAGAAAGTTAAGGAGATTCTTTGCTCCCACTAACTACCAGAAACCTGAAAGTGGATTTGTGGTTCAAGTGATAGAAGCTTACCCTTGAGCAGAAGTATCCCAGATATAGTACTCAGGACACGAGTTCAAGCCCCAGAACTGGCAAAAAAATAAAAAATAAAAGGTAAAGCCATATAAATATTAAACTATTATTTTAAACCCAATGAAGTCAGGTCAATCTGTGGATTTAAAATCCAGACCTAGCAATGCTGGCCTGCAAAGAAGGGTTCTGAAGGATGAACGGGAGTTGAAAGCTGACAAGCACAGCAGCAGTAGCTCTCTGCTTCCAGACCCAGTGCTCAGCACCTGCTCTGACTGTGAGAGCTCACTGCATCTGCCCACAGTGGGAAGTGCTCTCCTCCTGAATCCCAGGCCCACAGAGCTGAGGTGCTTACCTGAGCAGGTGATGGCAGAGTCAGGATGGGAGTGTGGCAGTCCTGCTTCACAGCCTTCTCCGCTGGCTGGGGCTGAGGCTGGACAAGGGAATTCCGCAGCCTCCTGTGGAACAATGGCCTGAGACCAGGGACACTTTTAAAGGGCTTTGGAGATGGAGACGTGACTGTCCCTGGGGAGGACGTGTGGAACAAACAGAAGTTTCCACAGATGTGTGTCTGCAGGTGGTGGAGAAGGTACCTGGGCTGCTCCCTGGCAGAGAGTAGCTGGAGAATTGTGCTGTGGGCACACAGACAGGAGGAAGACCCATGGTACTGCTCCCTGGGACCTGAGCCACACCCGGGCTCTGGGGATGGACATATTGCAGATGGATGAACCACAGGCCCACAGGACCTAAGCTGGGACCCACACTGGGAAGGCTGAGAGCAGAGGAAGGAGGCCAGGTTTGGGGATCTCTGAGAAGGAAGGCACACATTGAAAATAAGGGCAGAGTCAGTGACCCACAGACAGCTCACAGGCCATGTTAAGAGTAGTAGGATTTTCTTCTGAAATGAGAATGGTGCGTTTTTCTGAAACACATTTCTTTTTTCTTTTTTTTTTCTTTTTTTTTTTAATTTGGCTTTTTGTTGGTCATAGGGTTTAAACTCTGGGCTTGTGCTCAAGCTGAGTGCTCTACCGCTTGAGCCACAGCACCACTTCTGGTTTTCTAGTGGTTTATTGGAGATAAAAGTTTCACAGACTTAGCCGGGCGCTGGTAGCTCACGCCTGTAATCCTAGCTACTCAGGAGGCTGAGATCTGAGGATCGAGGTTCAAAGCCAGCCCGAGCAGGAGAAACTGTGAGACTCCTATCTCCAATAAACCACCAGAAAACCGGAAGTGGCGCTGTAGCTCAAGTGGTAGAGTGCTCGCCTTGAGCTGAAGAGCTGAGGGACAGCGCCCAGGCCCAGAGTTCAAGCCCCAGGACCGACAAAAAAAAAAAGAGTTTCACAGACTTTCCTGCCCGGATTGGCTTCAAACAGTGATCCTTAGATCTCAGCCTCCTGAGTACCTAGGATTATAGGTGTGAGCCACCAGCGCCCACTGAGACACATTTCTGTGCATGATGTCTGTAAAGGTACATGACAAGCACACAGAGATTATGGCAATTGAATGAGCACACCTGGACATGCACTGATTAGATGCTGCTTCTGCTCATTGACCTCTCAACGTCTTGCCCAACCTGATTGCCTGAGATTGGCTTATCCTTTCTTTCAACCCTGTAACAAGCAGAAAACGCTCCACGCTAGTGACTCATGCCTATAATCCAAGGATCACTATCCTGGGGCAAGAAAGTCCACGACAATCTTATTTCCAATTAACCACAGAAAGACATGTGAGCTGTGACTCAAATGGTGAAGCATTAGCCTTGAGCACAAAATCTAAGGACAGAACCCAGGATCTGAGTTCAAAACACAAAACTGAAAGGAAAAAAAAACAGTAAGAAAGAAAAGATCAGAAAATATCTTGGTCTTAAGAGCCCCATACACGCATGGCCTGTGGATAGGGATGTAGC